TCAGCAGGAGGGGAATTCAGAGTTACCATAGCAGCCACCTACTCTCAAAAGAGAGGAGGGGGAAAAAAGGAAGACTCAAGAACTTGGATGAAAAAAGAAGCTATTGTTAACAAGACAATATGCATAGACGCTAGGTCATAAGGACATGGCTGCACTTGAATGGAATGAGATTGGGGAATTATTAGATAAAGCATGGGCTTTGTTTTTAAATGGGTTGATCAGTGAAATCACACAAGTCTGACACTGTTTACTTTACACCCTCAGAGAACATGGACTCTGGATAAGCTTGTTGACTGTTTGTATCTTTAAGCCGGTTTCATTTTCTGCACAGCTGGCTGAAATGCCCAGGGAGGATCCTGTAACAATCCCTCCCTCTCTCCCAAATATTTCTGTTAACTAAAATGAAAGTATATTTTGTATCTGAGATTATATGCTCATGAAATGCTAGCTGAGTAATATATGGAAGTCTTTATGTTCATGTTGTCACTAACTGTTGTACCACAGCTCATACAAAGACTAGGCTACTATTTAAAACAACTCCTCCAGTGAATAGTGATGAGAAAGTTGTTATTCAGGGCCAACTATCCTGCTAGACATCATGACAGTGTAAGGACATGACCCCAGATATTGGAACATTGCATTTCTTTCCCTGGTGTGTAATAAACGGTATTTTTAGTTGCAACCATGTAGAACAATTTTTTAAAAAAAGAAAAAAAAAAAAAAAAAAGACTGGCAATATTGCATCAAGGACCTAAATTTGCAGGCTACAACTCAGCTGACACATCATACAAATTCACTTTACTAGGCAGCCTGCAAGAACTCAGAAATCCTGAGCGCAGTTTCTAGTGCTTTAGTTAAATGATGAGTGTCATGCATCATGCAGCAATACCGCAATGACACAGGATATATTCATTTCTGCAGTTACTGAAAGATTATAAAGTCATGAAATAAATCACAGCAGTTTTAATTTTTGATGTTGCTAACTGTATATTGACCACAGACAACATACTGTTTGCATAAAGTACTCTGGCTCATGTCAAAAGGCACTGATACTAGGTATTAGACCTTAAGTAATGTCTACTTTTTAAAAATATGTATTAATACTATTTTCCTTCCTGCTTTGCAGTAGCTGAACAGTTGGTTTCCTTTAGTTACTGTGACTCATGGTAACAGTGGAAATCCAACTTTACAGACGGATGAGAAAAATAGGAGCAATTAAAATGAAGAATGCTGAATATTTTCTAAAATAGCTTGCACCAAATTTAGAGGTATGTTTCAGTGAAGCAAAGCCTTAGATATCTCCCCAAATAAATACAATACTATTAAGAATCTTACACTTGTCTCAAGTTAGAATAGAATTTTATTGCTCATCTCCTATTTGCAGATAGCACTTGCTTGTACTAACTGATGATCCACGTCTCAAACAGACATTGCTCACAAGGAACTTTCGGTAAATGTTACTGTCAGTGCTGCAGACTTTAACCAACTGGTTCTAAAACCATATTCAGAAGCATGGAGCTGGCACACCGTCTGTAGATGGGGTTGGGATCTTTGCCATGTTGGCAAGTATCAGTTTCCAGATCAATCAGGAATTAAAAGTCAGCTCATTAAATATGTGCTCAAAAGCAATATGCACTCACACATGCATGTATAGATGCGTATATATGCACACACAGAGAGGCAGGCCACTGTTCCAATACTGAGGCAATTCAAGGGATGACTCCTGCAATGACCACAGAAGTACACACATGCTTGCCCAGTTTCCCACTGACACCATGAGGGCAGCCCTGGGCTGATTCACTGGGCTACAAAGGACTGTGATCACCAGTGCAGGTCAGGTAAAAGACTCCCATAAGCATGTGCTGGGGACAACTTTACTAAGAACAAGATGTGTTTCTGCTTAAGACTGGAACAACATGCACTCCAAACTAAGCCAGGGCATACTGCACAGAGCTACTTGAGTGAGATTCGCTAGTCACTCTGCCTCTCACCTGCCTCCCCACACTTCTCAGTAGCCTCTAAAACAGCTCTGATACCAGGCAGTAAACACCAGTTTTTATCCCAGCCCTGCTCATCACTCCCTGTATCAGAGAGGAGAGAGGGAAGAAGGGCTGAGTTGTCTTGTAGCCCACTTCCTTGCAGAATAAGATTCAAACTGACTTTGCGCAAGCACTGTGGTACCTATAAATATCAATTCTGGTACCTGAAGACATGCACACATCTTGGGAAGCCTGCATAAATCAGACACTTACATATGCCCACTCTTCTGCTTCACCCCACCAAAGAATACGGCCGTGTGCAATTCTATTAATCTCTACTGGGTTAAAACATGGAAAGGAACCACTACCAGTCACAGGCAATCCCTGCACTTACTCTTTACCACCCAACAAAGCCTCCTCCCACATTCTCTGGAAATGGGAAAAAAGTAAACTAAGAACCTGGTTATTCTAAATCTATAACCCTCTTTGGACAGCTTGCCCTCTCTCAGCATTGCCTTACCTTTCAAGGCTCAGAGAACCACAAAATCTGTAATTGTCAGAATGAAGTCCAATGAATCAAATTCTCAAAAGTCTCACGGTAAGTCATAGAAAGGTTTACATGTATAAAAGTCAGCCAATAGTTGTCTTATGTTCTCCCCATTCCTCCCTCCTCCCCTCACAATATGAGCCATTTGCTCTCAAAAATATAGTAACATTAAATAGTACAATATACTTACAGCCAGATACATAGCTGCATATACGCTTAGCGCTGCTTCTTTGGATGGGAATGTCTTTCTGGCTTTCATGATAAGGTCGGGATTTCCAGTACAGGCATGTACGCTACTGATGAATTGTGTATACTGTTTACATCCAAGTGCTGTATAGTTGGGTTTACAAAGTGCAAGAAAATGTGGTGCAAGGTTCCCTGTTACTACTTGTCCAGCATTTACAAAGATGTCCGTAGCAAACAGTCCAAATGCGTAAATTCCTGAAGAGGGAAACAAAGAGTTAAATTTCCTGACAATTTCACTCCTGGGCAACATATTATAGTATTTATCATAGTAATACACCAGCTCCTTCCATTTAAGAACATGTAAAACTCACATGTACTGTACCCTAAAGATCCCGGCTCAGGTTGGAGATGGTACTTTCCTACACAACCACAGCAGGAACACTGCAATGTACCCGCACACCTGATCTCTCTCCACCCTTCAGAGGAGCACGTCCATCTCTTGTGCAAGCAGCCCACTTTCCTAGGCCCCCTAGCCATGAATCTCCACTGTTAGGGCTAGCTAGCTATATTGGTAGCTAACTTTTGCCCAAGTTCACTAAACAGATGTGACAGAGGCAAATTATTCACCCTATAAACCCGCTTGAGAAACAAGGAAGTCAGGCCCTGATGGAGAATTAACTTGAAAAGTCGTAACATATACTGGACAAATGTTTTCTTTTCCCTTGCAGCTGTAAAGAAGTTGAAGTACTGAATAATTCAATACTGCCATGCATGAGTTGACTTCACCTGCCTGCTACTGGGTACATCTCTATGCATGGCATGTTAATCACAATATCAACACACTGAGCTAGAGATCTATATATTTGAGGAGCTACTTATGCTAAAGAGTTGGGTTTTTTTATTAGACATATCAGCAATGCATTAAGCACGTGTGTTCATTCATTAGAATGGAAATGCATGTATCTGATTACTTAAAATAAAACAGATTTCTGCTATTCTGAGGTCTCTTTCTATCCTTTTGGAAGCAGAAAATGAGCTCTGGAAGGAAATGCAAACACAGCACCCCAACTGGGAGGGAAAGCCAGCAGGTGCATGTCCAAATTCCACGTGAGTTACAGATTTTCTCCTGTGTTTCCACAGGCAAATCACCTTACCTTTCCCATACTTCAATTCACTGTGAATATAGTGTGAGTTCTGGCAGTTCCCAACTTCATGGGGTACCATGAGGACTTGAATGGATGTACACCACAGCAGACATGATCCCACAGAAACATGTGCATTTCTAAAGGTGAGGTTTTTTTCCCCGGCAAAGCTAGAGGATTGAGAATGATTTCTGGGATCCTGGTTGGTTTGCAATGTCACACTAACATTAATTCACCCTGAGCCACTAGACACTGGTGAGCAACGGATTGTGCCTAGCGGAGCCACTGCACAGAAGGGCCCTTTCAGCAAGCCCTGAGGGTGTGCACTGCCCCAAAATAGGTGGTCACATGGCTTTGTGTGAGCGTAACGGGTAGTGATGCCTCATCTGGGAGAAAAGTGCAGAGGTCACTGTTCATTCCTTCCCTCTCAATTTTTTTTTGCTTCTGTGAGCAAGGAGGGCCCACCAAGCGGGAAGGAAACAGGAAATGCGGGCACTGATCACACACAGAGCGACTGGAGCAGGAGGAGTTCCTCATCATCACTCCCCACCTCCTCTGGACCTATGCAAGACTGTCTCATTCTTAATGACTTTTAGCACTCCAGTGTGATAGTGAGCAATCGCAATCTGCGAAGGCAGGGCTCTTACACAAACACTGCAAATACAGACACAGCTGCACATCCCCTCCCTCCCCCTGTGACTGGGGCACGCAGGAGGATTAAGTGCCCCAACGCCTTGTTCCTCCAGCTGTTACTCTTGGATACAGCCATGAGTGAGAAGCAAACAAGAGAACTGAGCCCTGCTATGGCACCCCTGCACGTATTAAAAAGCAACATCTGGGAATGTTCAATAGACATTTTGAGCAGTGGTACTTCTCCCTCCAAACACATTTACAATGAACTAAGTAGAAGAGATGACATCTCATATCTACTAAAGTCAATAGGGGACTATAGTTACAGCTGACTTCAGTGGGGCATGGATTTTGTACAGGTTTCTGCCAGAGACTATAATACAATCTCCAGGCTGAGAAAGTACCTAAACCAGGCTTGGCTTCAAACACACATTTATATCCCAATGTCCAACTCTGGCTGCTATGTGTGCACGCAACCAAAAGAAAACTAACAACTATAGATATGGCACAAGGACACCTCCTTTCTCCACCCTACTCCAAGCCTGCTGGTGGTTCTTCCCCTTTGTGGTCCCATTTTTTTCAATTTTTACTGCTGTTTCTGTAACTATTTTTTTATCCAAACTTCCAAGAAGCTCCATTTGCTACCCAAAGGACAGAACTCACTGCACCTAAGTTAAGACTACACATGAAATGTTGTATGGTTACCTGAATATTTTCCCCAGGTCAAAATTAAGACATAATTGATCACTCTCACCATTCAGAAAATGAAAGCATTAACTTTGCTCATACCAAGGAATCTGATGGTCCTGCGCACCAGTGGATTTATATAACAACAGTCTCCAGTTAGTATTGTTTTTTCTTGGTTTTCAAAATCCTTTGTAGCTAACTGTAGACAAAACACTGCAGTTTCTCCAACGATAATCTTAAGGAAGGAGAAGAAAGAGGAGAGAAATGGTACATCAGATTACAGCAAGTAAAATATACTAATATTACAGAGATGGCTATCTCATCTTAAGGAAACAAGACCAAATCAGCACAAAAGACAACATAAGTGAACCACATTCTGTAAGATAATCTTGTTATGAGGGAAATATGCCTTACGGCTGGCTTTAGTTTATTTGCATTAAAAGAGAATAAACTTCTATAACCAAGACTCAGAATTGACATAACATAACCTAGTTTTCAGGATGAGGGGAAAGAGAAAACAATCTATTAGTTCAAGAACAACAGATCACATAATGCACAAGATGTGGACCAAAGTAAAGGCCTAATCCTGGAAGATGCTGAACATTTAAGTTCCCACATGGCTTTCACTGACACAGCACTTCACAGAGTTGAGCTCTAAATTTTGGACCATGGTGGGGAAGGGGTTAAAAAAAAAAAAAGATCACAACAGAGCTCCTGTTCACATCAGAGGATTGGTTTGCCAGAAGGTACTTAACAGGGTTTGATACATATTTTGCCAGCTAAGTTTATCAAGTCTGGCTTTAGCTTGGTCCCTCATGCTTGAGCAAAGTGTCACCACTGATATTTAACATTAAGCGTGGTCTGTTTCACATTCATTACACCAAAATGAATAAAGTTCTCATCTCCATAGATCACTCACATCACAGTTAGCAAAAAATAATAAAAAAAAAAAAAAATCACAAATAAGAAAAATTCAGATTTTGAATGTAAATAGCCCCTCTAAGATGTGTATTTACCTGTACAGCAAAACATGACCTTTAATTTACTCATTACAATTACAGTATTGAGACTTAACAGCCAAAGCCAAGCCTTAAGCATGTATCTATCTAAACCTATGATACTAAAGCTTTACGGCAGGTAGCATAGATATGACCAAAAAGAGCAGAGCAGACAGGTCAAACACTGATCACTGTATTCCAACTTTGATTCACTGTGGGACTTAAAAGCAAGGCTCTTCCACTCTTCTATATGAAAAGCAGTACAGCTTAGTGACAGGTACATCATACTTTGATAAACAGGAATGAAGACCAGCAAACTGAAGTCTTCATACTACGCAAATACAAGAACTAATGCCATCAAATTTGATTCATTGCCTAGGTTTTTCTAAACCTTTGACCCAACAGGAAATTATAAACCTTTTCATATATCACAATAGGTCTGAACAGTTTTCCACACAGCACTGGTTAGAAAAAAAAACAAACTGAAACTATGGGCAATGGCTCATAAGCACAGTTTGTTGTCAACAGGAAGAATGCAATCAATGACCTTACTTAGTTATTTGTAGATCTACACAGATGACTTTGGCCAGAATTGTGACACACAGAGGAGGAAAGTGCTTCTTATAAATAATGTGGCATAAATAACAAAAATAACTGTGGTGGCAAGTGTGTAAAAAGCAAATTTCACTTTGTCACAGAAACAGTCATCATCCATCACTAGGATCTGAAGCCAATCTGAAGTAGAATTTTTAGATGAAACAGAAATTTCAACGCCTGAACTAACAAGTATCCTCTCTCTACTTTGACACAAGCAAATTTTCAGCATACTGAAGTACAATTCCTTCATCTATAATTAACAAATGATCGGTACCCACACGAAATGTAACTCAACCTTGAATTCAAGATCATCAAAATTATGACAATGATAAGGAGAATTCAGCCTGATGACCCCTACAGCTCTCATGAAAAAAACAACCAACCAAAAAAAACCCCAGTTTTAATATGATTCATAAAGGTGAGAACTGAAACACTAGGGTTTGTACTGTGAGTCACAGTAACTCCCTTCTTTCCTCTGGAATGATGAAACATCATAGACTAGGCAACCTGAACACAGTCAGATTCTGCATTTAACTGTCTTTTTTTTTTTTGCCAAACTCAATAAATTTCAGTAAAATTATTGCAGATTTCCAAACTCCAGGGAAAAGCAGAATCTGGCACAAGGGAAGCATCTGTGATATACAGTGCTCAACCTTTTGCAAGAACACGAGAAAGCATGCCAGCAAGCTCAACTCTCCAGCACTGAGCAGAGTCTCTGAATCTGCTGATCTAGGAATAGAGGTTCTTCCTTTTGGTTGGTAGGGAAGCTGGGGTTAGCAAATGGGAGAACTGCTCATTCACTTATAGGAAAGGAGATCCTCAGTTCCAGCAACCTGTCTGCATCAGCTGCATCTAGGTCCTTGCTGCTGGCAACAATTTTTCCTTATTACATTTTCCATCTTCGATGGTGACTTGGATGAAGAAAACCTTCTGCTCCAAGAACAGCAGAGAGCACCGTTCAAGTTCTTAGCTGAACAAAATACTCTTAGAGTGAGTACATAGGTGCAAGGATCAGAACGATACAGAATTCAGCTAAAGACAAAACTTTTGTTCTACTAGGCCTAGTGCTCTACTCTCAGAAGTAATCAGAGTGGGATATGTCATTGAGCACAACAGGCATTCATCTCTATGCTTCTGTGGCTTTACTTTGACAGAATCCTCTGGAATTTGGCAATAAATACAGGTTCTGTATTTTTCTGTACTGGCAGCTCAGCTAAAGCTCCTTCCTCCATCCTTCAGTGCAAGTGCTGCTCATCTCAATAATCAGTCTATTGATGTTTCAGAAACGGAAGGAAAATCTTCTCCAATATCACTAAGTCCCAGGAGGGATTCTGTTTCCGAGTGCAATTCCTTTCCCTTCTCTCTGGCATCACTAGCAATAATCAGCTCTACAGGGTAGAGGAAAGGGAGGGTGATCTCCCTTTTGCCCTTCACCATAATTTGCATGCCTGATATATTCCAGGAAGGAACAACTTCTGTATTCCCTCTGGCGCAGGAACCACCATTACCCCTTCCGCTGCACATGCAAGTTGCAACCAGTCAACAAATGACTTTTAATATAAGAGAATTACTCATGTACCTCTTGGCTAAGTCTTGGGGCAAAAAGTTTTTGGAATATTCCAAAACTGACGGTGAAGGATTGCAATGGAGAATCTGAAAGTTCTGACAACAAACTTTTGGACAGACCTATACAAGTTCATGTATAGAAATACAACTTACAATGAAAAAAGTGAGGATATTAGAAGTATCTTCCACTTTATTCTGTCTAACAGGGTCATGCTATTGTACAGATCACTCTACAGATTTCCTGAAGAATTATATATATTAAAATTCTTAGCTCACAGGTATTTTAACAGCTGTTAAAAACAGAGACCATCCTTCCCTAAGGCTGAGAAAACCTTTTGACATACAATTACAGCATGTAAAGTATAAGAAAAAGAACAATTTTTACCTGAAGACTAACAATACAAAGTGTAGGCTTTCCAGTATTCTAAAGAACATATCTATAAGTAATTTTCACAGTTCTTAGATAAAAATGCAATGTACATAACTGTTAAAAGAATGAGCAAGACAAGAATGATCACCCTACAGCACTGGCCTAGGCTCTGACAAGCAGTGATGAGGTCCTTGTTCTACTACAGCTTCCCTCTGTAACCACAGCAAAGGCCCTTAGTCTTGGTTCACAATATAAAGTGTAACAGGAATAATGCAAAAATCACCCTACATAAAGATATTTAATATTAATACATACTTCATAACTAGCAATTAGATAATACTTTCTTTTTATGGAAACATGGAAAAGAGATATTAACCCAGCAAAATCTAAATTACAGGAGAAGTTCTCATAACCATCTCCATGGCAATCGTATCCTGTCTGCGATGTGACAACCCATTTGACAGCCAGGAACAGAGTTTGGGACAGGTGAGATCTAAAATTAATATTTCGTCTTGTTTCACCTCTCAGTTCCTGATTAACTCATTAGCTGATTGTTTTTCATGGTGGTTTTGTTGGTTATTGCCAACCACCCAATATCTGTCCCTTTCCTTGTTTTCTGTACAGGATATTTACAGTGTTTAGCACACATTCCCCACACTGATTCCTTCCTCCCAAATACGTTAAGTTTTTTTCTGTATTAGTCATTTTTCTGAATTCAGGCAAGCTGTTCCTAGTTTTAGCAATGCATGTCAATTTCCAAATCTAATTTGTCCTTCCCAAAATCACCCATCCAGTATATTCTTAACTTGGTTCTAAATCCTGTGCTCTTTTTCAACTTGAAATGTCAAACCTGACTCATTCCAAATATTAGAGCTAGAGCAGCTCTGACCTTGTTGATTTTGCAGTAAACTGACTCCATAAACAAACTTCCCCTAGCGTCACATCTGGTTTACAACAGACAGTGCCCATATAAATAAATGACCTTAAATCTGCACTTCTGAAATACCAATGAGGTTTATTTTACGGACTACCTTCTCATATATGATGTAACTTCCTATAAAAACCCAGGATTCAAGTAAGAATCAAACATTCATTTGGATTACAAGATATCTGAGGGTCTATCAATGCATTTAAACAAGATAAATCCTGAAATTTAAGGTTGATAATATCTTATTTGGGATTAGGAAAGAAATTTCTCTCTATACATTCATAGATCTTTCCAGCTAACACCTACTTTAGGGTATACAAATGTTCATGAAATATTTCATATGGGCCAGGGAACGTGGTAGAATACACGATTCCCTCTCTGCCAATTCTCAGGGTTATGCTGTAGCTACAGCAACCACTCAGATAGATGAGTAACACTGAAAAGCAGTTATTGCATTAAAAAGACCACTAAATATTCAACCACATTCTGAACTTCTTAAGGTAAGGACAGGTTCTAAACTTCTCAAGTTAAGAACAACAGTTGACAATACTGTGCATTGTAATTTCTCTTCTGATCTCTTTTCATTCATTGTCTTTCTCTCATTTAGGCATTACTTGAACCCTAACCAAGGCTTCTGTGAGACCATCTTCAAGAAATAAGATGGCAAGGGATTGTCCCTCTGGGGAACGAGCATCTCGGGCACTCCACAGCTCTGCTTTTCTCTTTAAAAGGAGCTTCCTCATACTTCCTTGTCAGGCAGGAAGGGAAGCTGGGAA